ACGAGAAGTAATACTATCGAGAAATATTATTCTTAATAATACCAAGTACTATATTAGTATTACGTTGAGAACTCATTTTACTATTTCACTATAGAACGACTTTAAAATATCATATTATATCAACAATACAAGTTTATTATCCAACGTTTAAGATGTGGTTATTAAAATGTTTGTTATTAAAAGTAACGAAATATTCGTCCATGGTAGTTAAATCTATTTATCATAGAAGAATAGCGTAAATTTCATTCGTTCTTAAAATTATTTCTCATTTAATATTCAATAATAAGTTTGCACAAGTTGTTTTTTACACGTCGCAATGGAGATTACATTTTTAAGTTGCCGTCCGAAGGATAACCGCGTATGTAATTAGAAAAGAACTCCGTGATGCAGAGAATTTTCCACCAACTGAAGGAAATCGGGTTACGTAAATCTTCTTACGTCGCGTTAGGAGAACGCTAGAACATTGTCTTTTAATGAACGATTTAATCATTTAATCAATTTAAATAGTAAAGTGATAGTACATCGAATATTGTAATACTAAAATGTTTAATTTTCTATTAATTACATTTCAAACAGACGAATGCAATGCAAACGATTTCCAATTGAATGTATAATAGTTAAAAAAGAATTAAGTGCTTGGACTTTAAGATTTGAAATTAATTTCTGAAATAATACTTACACAATATATTGCAAAACTAATGCAATAATTGCACTCTTAAAGTGGACAAATTACCAGCTTCAATGCTGATTATTTGAAAATTTATTATCTGCTGTGTGCATGATATACGACAATATAATATAATAAAATAAGTTTTAGGATTAGACTGAAGGAAGTGAGGAAGTGAGAATGAAAGAAAAGAAAATACAAACATAAAGATATTAATAACATTAATTAGAATAATTATCTGCAGCGTATCGAAAATTGTATTTCGATAGCAATCCTTGACTTTTATCACTTTTCAATGAAGTAAACTAATTGCACAACTTCTCGTCGTTAATTATATACTGCAAAAACTTGGAACTTTTTCTGAATGTTAATCAAAAGTTTCTCCATTCCGATGGATGCTCTTTTGTCATGTTTTGGGTTTGTGGACGGTGCCATTATTCCACCGGTGGAGAAAATGTCTTGCGGCTTCCGGTGAAAGAACTCAAAAAGATTTAAAACTTTTCCGGCAACCTAATGCATACTCGATGCCCGGTTTCTCGGGAACTACCGGCATGCCTGGCTTCCAGACACATTTAATGTTCATGGAGCGTAGGAAACGGAGCGGTTAATGTACCATGTCTGACCGTGTTCACGTTTCACCGAAATCGAAAGAGCTAATCCGAATCTATGTATACTGTCCCGGGTAACGATAATAAACAAAATTACTTACCTTGATATTTTATGGTATTCGAAATAAAATAGAATAACATTGAAGTACTTGCTTTAAAATATTAAAATAATATTCATATATGAGCAAATGTTATCCGTTCGAATAAATACTTTTTAACTAAAAATATCTGTGAAACTTTTAACAAGAATCATAGGTTTCTAATTGTAAGATAACAGAAAACTGGATATAATAAAATTATCCCGTATATTTCTAATTCTCGCATTTTTACAGAAATTAGTACTAACGCACATGAATTTAAAGAAAGTACTATTATATGTATATTCATGTAGGTATATATATTATTATTATATATATTATATTATTAACAAGAATCATAGGTTTCTAATTGTAAGATAACAGAAAGCTGGATATAATAAAATTATCCCGTATATTTCTAATTCTCGCATTTTTACAGAAATTAGTACTAACGCACATGAATTTAAAGAAAGTACTATTATATGTATATTCATGTAGGTATATATATTATTATTATATATATTATATTATTAACAAGAATCATAGGTTTCTAATTGTAAGATAACAGAAAGCTGGATATAATAAAATTATCCCGTATATTTCTAATTCTCGCATTTTTACAGAAATTGGTACTAACGCACATGAATTTAAAGAAAGTACTATTATATGTATTCATGTAGGTATATATATATATATATTATTTTGTCAATATATTTTAATATGTAACTGTATGCGTTTTTCCAAGACACAATTAACTGTTATTATTCGATGCGCCGAACAGTATAATTAACAGGCATTTTTACCATGAAGCTGAGTGGATGGATCAACGCTTCGACGTTATAGCGCAGCTGCTTCTCATTTTAGTAGGGAACAGAATTCACTCGTCTTCGTCAGAGAGATAATTTAGAGGCTCCTTTAAAACCTGCGCTCTTTTGTCGCTGGCGTATCCGATTACACGCGAAACAGAGGCAGCCAAGGGACACCAGGAAATTAATCGCGGACTCATCCGTCATTTTAAACAAGACGTCGGGGTGGCGCCATTAATTTTGTCACTCGACATACCCGGTGCAGGCCGTACGAATTACAGGAGTCGTTTACGAGACGATATCTCACCGTTTGATGAACGATTTCCGAGAAAACAAAAACTCTTTCACCCCCACCCCCCATCACCCTGAACGCATGTTGCCACAGCTATGTTGGTAGAATCGCCAGAAATAGCTGGTCCAGAGGAATCGTTCGTGGCTTCCATAGAAATAAGCTGGAGCGGGACTGGAACGGTATCAATGGTGAAAGGAAACAACAGAAGTCGTGTATCAATCGGTTTATTGTGCCCGTGTAACGCCCGCGGTTTGTACATTATATCGATTCTCGCGTCGACGTTTTTCTCGTTATGTACAGGAATCTTTCTGACTTGGCGTACCGCAGCACCTATTTTTTTACAACTAACGCTTATGTCTACAGCTCTGCAAATAATCGTTCGAAACAGAAACCAAATGAAATCGCATTAACTTGAAAGATAGAATACGGAGACACGATTGCAAATATGAGTGCTTTACACACGGTGTCCCAAAAATATAAGGCCCATGAAAGAGGTGATTCCTGAGATGATTTCAAGTAATTTTTAGCTTAGCGAACATTTTCTCCGTAGCTTTGTTAACGAGTTATCGACGAAGGACAAGGTAATGTTTAATAACGTTTACAATATTTTTGGGACATCCTGTATAGTTCTCATTTTCTATAATCCGTAGAATGATGCATACAAGATAGATGGCTTCGATTACGTTTTTATACATCATCTTCAAAAAATATCACAGAAAAATTGCATTACTTAAGTTATATACACACTGTGCTTTCGACAAAAGAGGAAACATGAATAATAGAATTGGCAATTGTTATTTATATTAAATAAAGGCTCATAAATAATTTTTTAGAAAATTATATCGTACTTTTTACAAACTTGCCAAGCGAGATAATTCGATTTCGCCTGTGCAACGTTTCACTTTTCGAGCGATTGCGAGCAGCGCTGTAAATCTACGGTTAAATATGTACAAAAATACAAAAAGGGGGTATTGGCACACTCGAAATGCCGATGTGGCAAGTATATCACATCGTTCGAAATCGTCGGACTCGTTTCAGCCCGATTACAGAGCTTCCTGAGTACGAAATTGGCAGTTCGCGATACAATGGATACAATTTGGCAATATTCTGTCTGACTACTCTTCTCGGCGATGAATGCGACGACATCGTGAAACTCTGTACAATCGAAGTTCCTTGGGGGCATAACGCTTAGATAAGGGTAGATAAGATACAAGATACGCGTGTTAGCATTGGGAACCGAATTTCTGTGAAACTTCGATACAGCCGATTGCGTTACACCACAGACAGTCGAGATACCATTGAACGACAGTCGATTTGAAATATCAATCATGTGAATATTCCTCGTGGAAAACTTTGGCTCGGTTCTTTCTCGACAAATTGTCCTCGCAAATCGATCGACAGCTATTACATATGAACTTCTGTGTAACGAAGAGTTCGTCGTCGTTTTATATATATATAAGTAAAGTTTTACATAATATTCACGCGACCGTGAAATCGAATAAATAAAGAAGCTACACAACCGATTAAAGATTATAGCAACCGATGCCACGTGTATTCGGCTTAAACGCACGCAACTGGTTTCTGTTAATCCCAGAACTAATCCCACACGAAGACTTAGTTCGACAACTAAAAATATCATTTAAAAAGATGATCCTTTTCGAGAATTTCGTATTCGTTGTCCATAGTTTAAATAGAAATAAACGCTCGATTCAGGCAACAGAACTAGCAAAGCACCCGCCAGAGAACATTTGCGGAGACACTTTGCACGTGACTTATTTTAAAAACAAGCGATTCTTTGCAGCGATGACAACGGTGAACGCAAGAATGCATAGCGAGATCAGAATATTCGGCGTTCGCAGAAATGCGATATGCATTCGATCGAACATGCATCGCGCGATGAACGTCCGATTCAGTCTTAACGTATTTAAGGAGGAAACAAAGATATACATGTCAGTTTCTACAGTTACTCTTTGTTGTCAGCTAATAGAAAAATTACACGCGATTATACATTCGAATCTACTCGACGCTATATAAACAAGTTCTTATTGCAAATTTCGGGGTATTTTTTCAGACGGAACGCTTGTGCCACCGGTGTTCTAGACCCGCTTACACATTCTCGATATCTATTATACTACACTGAAAACAAAATGTGTCGGCGTATCCTGAAACTAGGTTGCACGCGACAGTGTCCCGTCCCGAAAAATGTTCGAAAGGAAAATATTTATTGCAACATTTCCTGATTCGTTAAGCAAGGCTCCTTCATTTCCCCTGACTCCACTATTCTGCCTATATTACTCGCATTACTTTCCTTATGTTATGTTTTCCTCTTGTGGATGTTATAATTTGGCTAACTCGCGTTGTGGCATTGGTTGCATTAACACAAATTACGATGAACACCAACGAAATCGGGCTTGTATGCATTAATAGATATTTTTTATTTGATACAACTCTGTCCGTAACTATCAAGATTCATAGCAATGTCCCGCGTTTGGTCGGCCAAATTATAGCATCTTCACACCAGCACTGTCCTTGATTGGACCCGCCGTTTACGTAGCATTTTTTCCCCTTCATTTGATGTCAGGTTCTCTGTTATAATAAATATGTACTTATGTAATCATGCTAAGAATGTTAATCTAAACGTAATTACACCATGTTTAGAGTGCGTGCATGTTACAGCGAAAAATAAAGCTTGTTTAAATTAATTCTAAGAAACATAAGTTAGATGAAAATGTTCTTTTAATGATCGTAATGTGTTGAAAATAATGTAACACACACGTAGATCCGTGTAAACAAATTTGACATAGTAGAAATTAGAGTAAAATGATATTCTATTATATAATTTTACTCTAATTTCTATTATATTATATAATATTAATTATTATTTCGATTTCTCAATCGAAAAATAAAACGTGAGTTTATTAAAATTTTAACTTAGCCGGCATTTATTTTACAGTCAACTTACGACGATTGAAAATCAACTAACTATATTGTGTTTTAAAGAAGAGATTATAGAGATTATATATCCTATGAGGTGGCAGTCAGTAGCATCATGGTTCGTTCGGTAAAACATCTGAGCAACAGATTTCGGACAGCGCTGGCGTAAAGAACGACTTGTGCCAAGGAAAGCGACGTTTCTACACTCGAAGATACTTACTCCTCGCTACTTACTTCATCGCTCCCATAAACTTTCCTTTTAAGTACTAAAATTATGTACAGGTGTTCTCAATATATTTCTGGTCGCGCTACAGCGGAAGTGAAAGCGGATCTCTCGGCAGAAGTTTCCGCGTTTCGAGATAATCTATTAGACATATCTGGTCAACTGGGTGTGGAAATCTTGTAGGCAGACAATCAATTGGCTAAACGTCGGCCTCTCGTCCGCGGACATCGCCCAGCAATATGCCATGACAGCGAACAGTTCGTCCGGACAGTTGATTGGCTGTGCTAATCGGTAGCCGTCCCTGAGATACGAGGCCATTTCGAATGCATCTACCTCCACGTACGGTTGTTGTGCCAGCGTTGTCAGTTCCCATAATAATACCCCGAATGCCCACTAAAAAAAAATTACAGAAAAAATACGTTGCTTTTAATAACAATAACAACCATCCGCCTGAAGCCGTTCAGGAAGCTAGTAAAAACCATAAGTCGTTTAAGTCGACAATTATTAATTACCGAGCTGTTCGTCCGCTACTAAAAACCCCAACGATATTAATTAAGCTCATTATCATGAACGATCTCACCCGATCGAACGATAGGGAGCGATTTAAGTCATTAAACGCGCGGTCAGCTCGGAGTAAAACGGGTGTCTTATTAATCCTTACCGCGAAATTTTTGTAAATGAGCCGTTTATTTTGGAAGTGGCATAAGTCACTTCACCGTAATGAAAAGTGGTGATTTTTTAAATGTTTGTACGAAATTATTTATACCGAGAAAAATATCAGTATCCTGAGACAACAAATACAAGTAAATCTTCTCGAAAGTTAGCATCCATATTTTTAAACGTGTTGAAAACAAAGTGACTTATGCCACTTTCAAGATAAACGGCTCAAATATTAGCCAATCCATTGGCTGCGCCCGAATTAGTATTTAGAAGATAGGCGATTTTCATAACTGCACAGGTACCATCGAATTGGTCCAAATTTTCCGCGTAATAATTACCTAACAATTATGCGTCATTTTCAATATCTGACAATTATGCGTCGTTTTCTCCTGTTGTGTGNGTAGGCAGACAATCAATTGGCTAAACGTCGGCCTCTCGTCCGCGGACATCGCCCAGCAATATGCCATGACAGCGAACAGTTCGTCCGGACAGTTGATTGGCTGTGCTAATCGGTAGCCGTCCCTGAGATACGAGGCCATTTCGAATGCATCTACCTCCACGTACGGTTGTTGTGCCAGCGTTGTCAGTTCCCATAATAATACCCCGAATGCCCACTAAAAAAAAATTACAGAAAAAATACGTTGCTTTTAATAACAATAACAACCATCCGCCTGAAGCCGTTCAGGAAGCTAGTAAAAACCATAAGTCGTTTAAGTCGACAATTATTAATTACCGAGCTGTTCGTCCGCTACTAAAAACCCCAACGATATTAATTAAGCTCATTATCATGAACGATCTCACCCGATCGAACGATAGGGAGCGATTTAAGTCATTAAACGCGCGGTCAGCTCGGAGTAAAACGGGTGTCTTATTAATCCTTACCGCGAAATTTTTGTAAATGAGCCGTTTATTTTGGAAGTGGCATAAGTCACTTCACCGTAATGAAAAGTGGTGATTTTTTAAATGTTTGTACGAAATTATTTATACCGAGAAAAATATCAGTATCCTGAGACAACAAATACAAGTAAATCTTCTCGAAAGTTAGCATCCATATTTTTAAACGTGTTGAAAACAAAGTGACTTATGCCACTTTCAAGATAAACGGCTCAAATATTAGCCAATCCATTGGCTGCGCCCGAATTAGTATTTAGAAGATAGGCGATTTTCATAACTGCACAGGTACCATCGAATTGGTCCAAATTTTCCGCGTAATAATTACCTAACAATTATGCGTCATTTTCAATATCTGACAATTATGCGTCGTTTTCTCCTGTTGTGTGATTATTAATCGTCTCGTGTGAGTAATGAAGTGATTTATTTTTCGAAAACCGTAGAGTTTTCCATAGTTTCCAGAAATCTCCATAGTTCTCAAAAAATGAACGAATGAGTAAACAATCATACAACACGAGAAAACCAAAACTACCGAATGATGTATGAGACACAACCGTTAGAGCGATTATTGTGCGGACAATCGAAATTAAAACCGCACGAACTTATGGACTGATTATCTTCAACTCGAATGAAGAGAATGAATTAAATTATTCGAAATACATTAACGGATCGTTAATCCGAGATCTTATAAAATGTTGTTACGTAAAGGTCTAAATTATAATGCACGTCGTGTAATGGAAATTGTAGTGCAGATCATGTTTGAACTCTTCTTAGATTTATATCGCTTCTATTGTATTAAAAGAAAATCTACCAATCTGTAATTGCATTCCATAAAAGAAAAACAAATGACAATTTAAATATTAATGGATTAGTCAGAATGTGAAAATTAAAATATCTACGACAGTATTTTATATAGAAAATCCGCTATGAAAGTGGCTTTTCCAGACTTACCACGTCGGAGGCGGTGCTGAACGTCTTGTTCAGCAGACTCTCGATGGCGAGCCACTTGATTGGCCGGTTCTCGTTGTCGCCGAGACAATGATAATCCTGGGGGAACAGATCCCTGGCCAGAGCATTGTCCGTGATTTGAACCCTGAGATCGTCGTCGACGCTAATAAAAAGGTAACATCGATCGTTAAACGTCCTCCGTGCTGTTCCCGACTTCTGACACGGGCAGCGTAAAAAGGGACACGGGCAGCACGAGCACCGCGACGAATCGAGCATGGCCCCGGCTAAATTTGTCGACTGGTTCGCGTGGCAATACAGCAGAAAAGGGCAAAAAAAGAAAGAAAAAAAAGAAAAAGCGGTTGCAGAAAAAGAAGCTGCCCGAGGCGCGCATTAAAAGTCATTCTCGCGGGGCGAAACAGTAGCTGCCGGTAATTAAACAGTCTCGGGCCAGTGTATTTATTGCTAATTAATGTCGTACGGCCAATTAATTCCGTAACGAAACGTAACGACCTTAAAGTTTACGGCGTCTCGAGTGAATTATTCGGTACAGTGTGTGTGTGTTATCCTTCGGGGGAGCCTTCCTATTCTCGAGCGAATCCTCGTAAAAAGATACGTAGCCGAGTTTAAAGTTTTGAGTTGTTGCGGAAACAAGGAATAAACAGTACAGTAAAACCTCGATTGTCCGTTCCTCGTGTGATTTTGGTTATCCGTAATGATTATTCAATGGTAAAAACCGTTTACGTCAATTATAATGGTTGTCTGTAATGAATTAACATTCTCGTCATCGATAATTCTTATTTGTAATAAAAGAAACAATTTTCGTCATCTACAATTGGTTATTTGTAATCAGAAACTATTTCTGTCACTTGTAACGATTATATTAGCAATCAAAAACTATTTTCGCAATTTGCAATGGTTATTGGTAAGCAAAATTTAATGATTATAATTAAATTCTGTCTCGTTTTGGTAATATCAGTTATGGCCTCTGATTACCAGCGTTCGCAGAGGGTTAAACCAGATTTCAAATCGAAGGAGTGGGGGGTAAGTCATGTGACGGAACTCCCGTACAGCGGAGTGGGGCGCGTCACGTGTCCTACCCCCACTCCGCCAATTTCAAATCCCGCTTAGTCTCCTGTGATCGGGTGGTATTACTGTACCGTAGAATAAAAGATGGGGAGGAAAAAAGTAAAGATAAAAGAAAGGAGAGAGATGACGAGGAAAAGAAAAATAGAAATAGAAAAAGAGAAGGGAAGTGAGAGTGAGAGAGAAAGAGAAAAAAAAGAGAGAAAGGTAGATGGCAAAAACGTTTGCGCGTTGTACTTGCAGCATTATTATAATAACGTGAGTTTTTGCTTACACGCAATTTCTAGCAGCCAGGTCCCTGTGCACCAGCCTCTTTCTGTGAAGATACTGAACTCCTTTGGCCGCTTGGAGGGCCATTTCCACGACTTCTTGCGTGGTGAGAGCCCTCGGTGGCCCCTCGCTGCTCAACTTGCACCTCAGCAAGAACCTCTTCATGTTCTTGTAGCCGGTGTGCGGATACAAAAGGAAAGGCGCGCTTCTGTCCTCGATCGAGACGCCCAAAACGGGCAGCAACACCGGGTGGCTTAAACCGTACAGCGCTAATCCCTCGCGCAAGAGGAGGGCGACCTTAAAAAACCAAATTAAAAAGCACGTCAGAAAAGTGGTAGGACAAGGCTCCCAATTACCCAGGCTGTATCCGGAACACCCCATCACTTTCGTTTGTTTCAACGATAATCATCGTAATATGACAAGAAATTGTGAACAACAGAATTCTATTATAACATTCGATATTATATTAATAGAATAAAATCATTTAAGAGCTCTAATTAGTTTACTGTACGTTCTAAGAAAGTTAGTAAAAGGTACTAGTCGTGCGTTAACCGTAAACGATACGAAGAAATCGAATTTTTGTAATTACTTAGCTTTCAGTCGATTGTAATAAATGTTTTTAAACTATAAAAATCATTGGATTTTATAAAGAAAGTATAAACATTGCCTATGTTCATTCTATGTTCAATACAATTTATATACTTTAATAGTTTAACTTAAGTTAAATAAGTTGATGAAGTTAATTTAGTGTAAATACATTATAAAAAGTAAATGAAAAATGAATTAGAAATATTTGGGACCTATTGGTATTTCGGTCACGATAACTAGTACAAGTAGTTTTTTGAAGCGTCGATAATTATAACATTTACATTATTTTCAGTTCTCATTAATTCCATATCAGAAAGCCTTCAACGCTCTGAAAATATTTAGTTGTATAATTAGAGAACTAAACAATATGAAATGCAAATAGAAATTGATTTTAACGTTTCCAGATGAAGATATATAGATAAACGAAAAATTATTCTTAACTATTCTTATTAACTATTCTCAACTACCTTAATCAATTTAGCTTCTATGAAACACTGACTTTCCTCGCACTTGTTCCTTCGCAATTAAAATTATTGCGAGATCTACGATTTTGTTGCTGTGCTCTTCTTCGTGTTCATGTGCTCTCGGGGGTTTTGATATAAAATAAGTTTAAATGTCCACCGTGTAAATCAAACTATGAACAATTTTTAGTGTAATTGTTAGACGCGAATTATGAAAGAAATAACTAGGCAATTATTTTAGGGCTTCCACCCATTTTGATGATCATGAAATCTGTTGTTATGGTAATTATTCCGAACAATTTCTTTTCAATTCTTATCGCTAAAAGTTTGTATTTAACAACAAAATAATGCTTTATGAATTTATCCATCTTACGAAAAATCCAGACCTAACCCACACTTGATCCACGTTTAACCTATACTTATTATGTGCAAGGTATTGTTTAAAACCGTTCCGAATAATAAATTTTTATGATAACATGTAACGTTAAAAACGTCCTCCATAATATATTTCAAGGTCAAGTCAATAATTATCAATAATTACAAGGAAGAAAAAATGATTGCCAAGGCAAAGGACCATATGACATTCGGATTGTTTACGGAGGTATATTGTTTAACATAAATAGTATCAATAGGAAAATAGATAATATTAAATGGTCGATTTTTATGAAAATCGAAAAATCTCGTGTAAGATATCATACGATCAAATGTGGAGGATTAAGCATGATAATTAAAAATCAATCACGTTTAATATAATTAACTCCGTAACACGACGAATGAATAAAAAAGATGAACTACTTGAAAACGAACCTTGCAGTAAAATAAGGGAGAACCTTATAGTAAAATAAAAATGAAACCTTATACTATCAAATAAAACAGAACGTTTTGAAATCAAAATGAGAACAGTGTCTGAAAATTAATTATCGATAAGAGCGTACACACAACGCGGCAAAAGTACAAGATTAAGGGACGAACTAACAAGAGTCTAATTGCGAGCGAAATTCCGGGGAAACACAGTGTTCTAAATTAATTAGTTGGCTTTCGACGAAACTTAATTGACCGAGGGAAGGAAAAATTACTCACTTGCGACTGTGATGCATGTTCAGCAGCAGTTTTCACTAGGACATCCCTCGGGGTAGACGCGCCCTCCTCGTGATAACTGCCTCTGTACACGCGACCGAATGTGCCTTCCATTTCAATGCTGAGAAGGCGTACCCTGCATCTGTAACAAGTGCGGAGGAAGATTGCCTCGAGATTCGTGACTTCCAGCATCGGCGAAACCGATAATTATTCTGTACAAACTTTGAGAAGCATCTTTTCCGAAATGACCGATGCCTGCATTGATCGTCTAATTGCTAGAATGTAAACCTGTCTGGCGTCCGTGCAGACATGAACAACGGAACGGATGGAATTGAAAGAATTACAGATGATACGCATGAATTCGTTGGGACTTCAACAACCAACCGATAAACTGCTATTACGATTTCGCTCCTTTTCGATCGGTTCACTTTGCGTAATGCTCTGTTCGCACCAAAGTTAGGAACTGTTCGAATTGTTTCGAATGAACGTTTATATCTGAAGTCATTGTTCGAATGAATTCTTTTCAGGCGATATTTTATTCAAATAACAATTATTCATTATCCGTAATAAATTATTCTATTTATTCATTCGAATAATTCTTCAGTTCTTGTTCTTTATATCTTTCTTTTCTATCATTCTTTATATCTTATTTTTTATATCTTTATATTAGTGTCCTTCTGGGTATAGTTTTATAGTTATTTCGGAATACTACACAGAATTATATATATTTAATTATATATTTTATAAAAGTTGTTGCTTTTTATTTTGCATAACTGGTAACAAATTCTGACATCAACATGAAAATTATATATATATATATATATATATATATATATATATATATATAT